AAGGGTAATGTCTTCGACTAGATACGATTTGTGATCTTTTGACGTATCATTGAAAGAAATCGGTTCGGTGAGAGCTGAGAAAAAGTGGTAACAGACAAAAATAATAAAAATAAAAAAAAAACACATCTTAGTAAAACCAATACCTTCTCAGCTTCGCATCAAAGCTAAAAACGGAATGGGAAATCGTGAAAATACATGTAAAATAGAAAATGGAGGGGGGCACCATTACTTCAAAATTCCCTTTTTTCAAAAAATTTAGAACTTAGATGGCTAGATAAGGCCTTGTGTTCAGTTCATGTTTTCTTAGTCGTGTTTCAGAATGTAAAAGTGAGTTCTATTAACCAAGCCACTCGATTTCTATTAAAATAATAACTGAATAGTCACCTATATCCACTTTTCCAAATTTTTAAGGACAAATAAAAAACTATTTTTTTCCATAATAATTATAGAAAAAATCTACAAATAAATAAATCAATTATTGATTTATTTATATTATGTTTATTTTAAAACTATATAATATACATAAATACAATTAAAAAAGTGCACTTTTTACAAAAAAAGAAGTATTTATATTGAAAAATTAATAATTTAACATAAAACTTGTTAAGTAAAAATGTGTATTCGGTCATTTTTAAGTTAACAAATGACAATTCAATTATGTTGAGAAAATTATTTTTTTAATCATCCTGACTTTACATATGTCAACTTTATTTTTTTAAATGGTAACATACATATTTAACTAGCACATTAAATAATGTTGACACTCTTATAAGGTATAAGGATTACATTAAATAAATTAATTAGTAACTAATAAATCAAGAAATTATGTAACTAAAAATACCTAAAATAATTTTCTTAACATAATTACTATTTTAAAAGAAATCAAACATTAAATGAATCATTCTATATATACTTATTGTTTATGTATATAAGAAAAAAGAACGCAACATATATTATATATGTGAAATTTTTTGTGTACCTTTTTCAAATTTTTATGTACCTTAACAAAAAAGTTATGAGTAAAAAAAGGGTCATCTAAATTTTATTTGTGAAAAAACTTTTGTGCCATCCCATTATAAATTTTTAAATATGCCCCTGGAATTGGGGTATCATGTAAGCATTATAATTATATGTGAATATTTTGTTTTTATTTTTTTTCTTAATTACATAGTTAATTAAAAATAATATTATGATAATACTTATTAACAAAATAAATTATTATTATTCTGGTTACACTAAAATGATATTTAATAGCCGTTTATAAAAGTTTGGTCAAAACATAGTTTTGGTTTAATTTAGTCAAAATTTATGATCCATTGATGACCCCCTTTTGTGTTATTATTTCATTTTTCTGGTTCAAACGACAACTGTTATTATTTATTGATATTTGATGTGAGGTTCTACATTCTCTCAAGGATATACTCTGAGGAGGAATTCTCATCACAAAAATAATTATGTATAAAAGATAGAATTCAGTGAAGATAGTAAACAATTTTTTTATGTATAAATCTTTTGTAAACCATTAATTTCTTTTATAAGACACATAAATACATTTTGTCCCCTCCCATAAGAAAAAGCTAAGTACGACACTGCAAATACCCTTTAACTATTTACTAATGTTACTGATAAGACAATACATATCTCTATAGAACCAAAGACCTTAATTGTGCACCTCATAAGTGTGATTATATTAAAATATCATGAAGTATTAATAGGTAATGAAAAAATTTAAGCAATGTAAAAATATTATTACTATTAATTTTGAAACGTTTTTATTTTAAGAGTGTTATTTAATGATGAAGTTTGACAAGAAATATTTTAGTGTTAGTCAAAATGTCAATTACTGTAACAAATTATTAAATTATACAAATAAAAAAAAAATTATTATTAAAATGTAGTTAATAATCAAATAATGTCAGATATAGACTAAGAATTGAAATAATTAAGTAACATAAAAAAAGCAGAAAAAGAATACACAATGTTAAACTTTACAAGAAGTATGGCCAGCAATATCAAATTAGTTATTTTTTAATTTAATTTTATTAAAATTTATAATTTTTTTATGAACAGTTAAAAATTATTAAATAGTATTGTCTAGCAAAATGTAAGTTAATGTTTAATTAAAGGCCATATTTATCTGAACCTAAATCTGAGCTTCTGAAATGTGAACGATTTAATAGACTCAGCTTCTTTACATTTAATACCTAAAACAAATAATGTTTTATTTACAATTTTTCTACTTAATGTTTTAAAACAACACTAGAGTATTGATAAAAATTAATTAAATTTAACAGGGTGTTAACAAAATTTTGATATAGAAGTTTTAAATGTGATAATTAAGCTCTATTGCTAGAATGAAATTTTTTATTTTTTTTTTAATGTCAATTTTTTTCATAAATTTAAAATAGCTAGTTTTTAAGAACTTCTCTTACAAAAAACATTTAATGACTTAATAATAATTTCAACATAAGTACCTATCAAACTAAAAACATTTTAATACAATGAGTGGGTTTAGTTGGTTTATGTGCCTTCCATCTACACTACATACCTATTAAACGTAGTAAAATGCTTGTAACTCGATATAATTTTAAAACTTAAAAAATAACAATTGTGAAATTTAATTTATGCTTTATTTTTTTTAGAAACAAATAATAAAAAATATAATTTTAATGTGATTCAGAAGTTATTATATGTTAGAACATAGTGGGCACTCAGTATAATTAATATAATAACATAAAAGTATATATATTACCTTTGGATTAACATGAATTGGTTGTCCGGCATCATGATTATTAACATTTCTTAGTAAAGCTAAACAATAAAAAATAATAAATTACAAATAAAAAAAAAATTCAAATCTATTAACAAATAATATCATACCACTTTTTGAAACAAGACCAGGACTTTTTTTTTCAATATCACATGAGGCACCTATCCGCTCAAAAACAGATTTTGATGAATTAGAATCTGTAAAAAAGTTTTATTTAACATATTAGAGTAATATTATTATTTACTATTGTTACTTATTTTATTAGTAAAAAAAGTACAAATTTAGTGAAAATTAATTTTTATATGTCTTACTTAGTACTTCATTCCTTATTCTTTTGGTAAATGCACTACTTTCTTCAGAAGGAATAATAGGTCCATAATGTGCATCAGATGGTAAAGAACGTTTCATCTGTACTACTGTATGTTCATTGTTGTGTTTTTTTCCAAGTCGCTGAAACACAGATGTCTAAAAAAAAAAATAATTTCATAAGATCATAAAAGAATTTAATAAAAATCTATAAAGTATACCTTTTTAGAATCAGAATTAACTCCACTATCAATATTCGGAGTAGTACTACTAACATCACCAACTCCTAAACGATCAAAAACTGAACTTTTTGTTTTTATTTCACTAGTTGGAACACAATTGTCATCATCACTTTCTATGACTCCTGCTTTTGTTTTTACAATAGTTTTTGGTTTTGTAATAATTTTTCTTGTTATTATTTTAGTGTTATGTTGAGTTTGTTGAGGTAGAACTTTTTTCTTAATAATTTTAGATACAGGCAATTCTTCTTCAACTTCACTTTCACTAGAAACTTTAACTTTTCTAACAACAATCTTTTTAATTTTATTAGCAACTGAAAAAATATGATCATAAATATGGACATTCTATTTGTTGATAATTGATAAAAACTATACAAAGTAATAATATAACAAACCTATTTTTTTTTTGGGGGGAGCAGTTTCATTATTTATAGAAGAACTATTTTTTTGTGTAGATACTTCATTTCCACTATTTCCATAAAATCCCTATTAAAAAATTATACTTTTAAAATCATATTTGAATTTATATTTGTTTAGTAGAACCTCTCTGTAAACATCCTTAGCATGTTTAAGAATAGCTATAATATCTCCAATAACAGTTATTCCCATTTCTTTTAGAATATCTTTATCCAAGTCCATTAACATGTTGGATTGTATTCTATTTTCAAAAAATATAGCTGCATATTTAGTAGATGCAAAAGCAGGAATTCCAGCTTCCAAAAAAAACTTAATCCACCATTCTGAAATGTAATAACTAAGTGTATTATAATATTTTATAATAAAGATAAATTACTAAAATTAAAATATATTATTTTTCATATTTAAGTACTATCCTGAAATATTACTCTAATAATAATATATAATATTATACTCTAATATTTAATGTTACAAAAAATTCAATAATGATAAAGTTAACTAAACATCTTTAAATCAAAAGCTATGAATAGAAAAGTCAAATTTTGTAATGAATTTTATATATGTGTTTACTTGATTAAACGTCTATAAAATATCAAAAATCAAATTCTTATAATATTTTACAGTTATCCTCGGGTTTGCCTTATAAATAAATTTATAATTTTAACAATTAAAATTTATAACATTTTAATAGATACTTACCTTTACTAAAAGTGGACATAATTGCAAAATAAACTGTTGATTAAATTAGTCGTCTGAAGTTTTTTCAGAATATTACAAAAATGATTTAATGAGTGAAATAATGAAAAAAAATTTGTTCGAATTTATTAAATTTTTATGAAATACTATACATTCATGTAATATCTATCACTAAATATTATGATCATATGTTTGTAATGATGTGACCACTTTGTGACAATTTGTTTACAATTATAATTTTTTTTCATAAATTATCATTATTTGGTAATAATACCTTTCATATTTCATTGTAATAATGTTAGCAGTGCTTGTCCATTAAAAGCATTTGTATAGTTTTTATTAAGGTACATACTGTATAATCTTAGTTACTACCATGGATACCAAGTATTCTTTGTGGTATCTGTTTATATGAATTATCGTCTCTTATTATTGTATTCGCTTTACGTTTACTTACGTTTACATTCGCACGCTTACAGTTAAACACTGACTAGTTAAGTATAAAATCTGTTTAACAAGTCCTAAATTCTTAAAGTAAAATTTTTATTCAATTATTTACTGAATTTTCATTTTAAAATGAAACCAAATGACTTATTAACCTAGTATAAATGGTAGAAGTTTTCAAAAATAATTGTTATACAACTAAATTTTTTACTCAAAAATTTTAGTAAGTACAAAAAATTCTAACGAATTTTGAAACTTTGTAATTCTTCCAAATTATATTGATTATTAAGGATATCAAGAAAATGGATCAATCATCTAGCTCATCTGTTTCATCAGACAAGTATGAATTTTCTGATTCTGATTCTGACAACCAAAAGCCAAGTTCAAGTCGACCTCGTCGAGTACCAACAAGCAATAGCAAAAATGCTGTTGCTGCTCGAATGAACCGTAAAAAGCAAAAAGAGTATGTGAAAAACTTGGAACATAAAATGTCTAAATTGAAACGTGAGATAAATAATTTGAAAAAAGAATTGGATGAACGTGAAAAAAAATGGGTCAGAAGTCGACGAGAAATCGCCTATTTGAGAAGTGTTATTGCCAACAGTCCACAAATTGGTAATTTGCTACGAAACATACATTGGAGAAATGTTATTCCGCAACAACAAGGTATAAATGTTGAAACAACTTTAAATGAGTTAAACTCTGAAATAAATGTAGACCAATATCCTATCAATACCAGCAGTAGTCTATTTGATGGTTGTTTTAATTTATTAGAGGAAAGAGAAAACCCTGTGGATTTCCCAATTGATCTTCAAGGATTTCATGGTGATCAAGAATGGCCACTAAATGATATCATAGATCCTTCAAATACAGAGGTAGGTGTTTGTTTGCATGTTTCTAATAAAAGGGTATCTATTGAATTTTGTGATGAATGTTCAACTAGGTTCTTTGAAGATCCTTTACACATGAAGTATTGTGTTAATTAATTTATTACTTTTTCATTCTGTTGTTTATTTTTACAATATTAAAAATAGATTAAAATAAAATTAATTTTATACATTTTGTTGAAATGTAAATAAAAAACTTACTTTTCAGTTTTAAAATCTGTCACATTACTTACAGTTTTATGGACAACTAAGATTTTTATTAATTTGTTTTGTGTAAGGTGGTTCAAGTTGATTGTAAATTAAATGCTAGTATATTCATAGAATAATTATTTAATTTTAATGAAATTTCCAAAATATATTAACAATAGTTGCGAATAAACAATTAAAAGTAACCATACAAATTTAGTATTTTGTCTTATGCAAATATTTTTATTCTAATGAAGACTAATTTATTTTAAAAGTTAAAATATTTCATAATAACTGTTTATTGATATATTAGTGTTTTTAGGTTTGTAATGGTTAAATTTCTTTTAAAAATAAATGTTTATTTATTATTTAGTACCTACATTTATTTTGAAACATTTTTTGCTGTAAAATACATTCAAAAAGAAAATTGGTCATGTTTTAAATTTAAAATAAAACAACATTTTATTATTGAATAATTTCTGTCTATATTTTTGTTTAAAATTAGAAGTTTAAATAATGTAAAACTGATTTAAGAGAAATCATTCAAAATTATTTTTTGATACTATATTCTCATTATTAGATAATTGTTATTTTAAACAATTTCAGCTATTCCAAGATACAGTTCCACCTAAACATGTGTCAATGGGCACGACGTTACCATAGATAAACAAATATGTTTTTTATGTGTTTATGGCGTAAACAATATTTTTAATGAGAATAAAAGGTTGGTATTTGATATTGTAACAATATTTATATGAATCTTTATTTTTTTTTATGTCTTTCATTAACTAATATATATATATATATATTTAAAGAAACTTGAAAACTACTATTATTATTCGGGAGGTATTTTATTAACAAAAAACAACAATATCTACTAATCTGTTTTGATTTTTTAGAAGCTGTGATCTCGCATGTACAATTCATACATGCCAATCTATCATTTAGGCACAAGGTAAGCCTACTTTTATTATAGTATTTTTAAATATATGATCATTAGATAAATTTCATTTAATAATACCATGACCAATTTTCTTTGAGTTGGTAGTGGAAGACATAAATTTTTATTCTTAACTTTCTCTATAGCCTTCCACTATCTTCAATTTACTTAATGTTTGTTTGAATGTATTATTAATTTAGTTAATAATTAAGTTTTATTATAAAGTGTCAAGTATTTTTTTATGATATATCTTTAATTTATTTGTTAATGTATTTTATTATAATAAATTCCTAATAAAGAACGAAAATTAATTCTTTCAGCTATTGATTTTAGTATTTTTTATTATTTTTTAACCAATCCAAATATTATCTATAATATTGTAGTGTAGGGAGTATGAATGACCAACTGTTAAAGTTGGATTGATTTTATAAAAATTAAATTATAAAATAATGAATGATTGAAAAATTAATTATTGATGTATTTAAATAAAGCTAATTAAAAGCAATTTATTAATTTTTCTTGACAACTTTAATATTTTCTCAATAATTCTATGAATGTTTTCCATTAAATAAGGATCTATATATAAGTCACATGCAAATTAACCTAGGGATTGAGGAGGCAAAAATATAACCAATTTGGAAATAATGTTTTAGATATATGTAAAAGATGGTTGGAATTTTTAAGAAAAGATTGCAGTCTCCTTGAAAAATAATTTAAAAATTATAAAAGGCATAATATTAGAATTATTATGATGTATAAATAATTTATTTTCATTTCAGAATTGACCTTTTAAAATCTGTCGTTTTAGAGCCCTATCCTGAATTATGCGTTCAGTGGCGTATTTTAAAAAAAATTATAGTTAAATCGCTGGTATGAGTACACTTTTTATTTAGTTTTAGGTTCTTGGAAAATGTGACCCAGGAATACAGCTCCTCTAAACAATCTAATTGAAAGTATTACCTTCAATAATGGAAAATTTTTCCCTCGTTCCCCGTAAATGGGGGAAACCTCCAAAAAAATTACAAATTTAAAAATCGCTAATTTTCGAAATTTTTTCAATTTTTTTTATAGATGCTTGATGACTTTACCTATCATTTGGTATATTTTTTTGTAAATCTGACACTTAACCTGCCCACAGGGGAGGATTTAAAATGACAACTTTTTCACAACAAATTTACTTTTTCAACATAACTTTTGAAAATGATCCGGAAGGTCTGACACTTTTATATATATCTTAAATTAAAGCTAATGTAATGTACTTTAATTTGAAAAAAAAAAATTTGACCTCTGGACTTGTCTTCATGGTGAAAACGGCTACCGAATGCTATTTTTGTGTGAAAATTTTCGATTTTATAATTTACATTTTTTACTTTAAAGTGCTATAATTTTTTAAAAAATGTATGGATCAATTCAATTTTTTCATGAGAAGTAGTATTTATATACATCTTTCATTGGATATACTTTTTTTTTAAATCAGACTATTTCCCTATATATGGGGGGGCTTCAAATATAAAAAATGCATATAGAAAGTAAAACTTTTTCAACTTAACTTTTGAAAGTGTTCCGGAAGGTCTGACACTTTTATATATATCTTAAATTAAAGCTTATGTAATATACTTTAATTTGAAAAAAAAAAATTTGACCTCTGGACTTGTCTTCGTGATGAAAGTTGACATCAAAGTTAATAAAAAATTACGATTTTTGTAAAATAATTTTTTTTTATATTTTTACCTTAACAATGCTCTAACTTTTTCAAAAATGAACATATCAATATAATTTTTTTTTATATAGATGCTTGATGTCTTTACTTATCATTTGGTATATTTTTTTTGTAAATCTGACACTTAATCTGCCCACAGGGGGGGATTTAAAATGACAACTTTTTCACAAAAAATTAACTTTTTCAACTTAACTTTTGAAAATGTTCCGGAAGGTCTGACACTTTTATATATATCTTAAATTAAAGCTTATGTAATATACTTTAATTTGAAAAAAAAAAATTTGACCTCTGGACTTGTCTTCGTGGTGAAAGTTGACATCAAAGTTAATAAAAAATTACGATTTTTGTAAAATAATTTTTTTTTATATTTTTAACTTAATAATGCTATAACTTCTCGAAAGATGTATGGATCAATATAATTCTTTTTTATATAGATGCTTGATGTTTTTACTTATCATTTGGTATATTTTTTTTTGTAAATCTGACACTTAACCTGCCCACAGGGGGGGATTTAAAATGACAACTTTTTCACAAAAAATTAACTTTTTCAACTTAACTTTTGAAAATGTTCCGGAAGGTCTGACACTTTTATATATATCTTAAATTAAAGCTAATGTAATATACTTTAATTTGAAAAAAAAAAATTTGACCTCTGGACTTGTCTTCGTGGTGAAAGTTGACATCAAAGTTAATAAAAAATTACGATTTTTGTAAAATAATTTTTTTTTATATTTTTAACTTAATAATGCTCTAACTTTTTCAAAAATGAACATATCAATATAATTTTTTTTTATATAGATGCTTGATGTCTTTACTTATCATTTGGTATATTTTTTTTGTAAATCTGACACTTTATCTGCCCACAGGGGGGGATTTAAAATGACAACTTTTTCACAAAAAATTAACTTTTTCAACTTAACTTTTGAAAATGTTCCGGAAGGTCTGACACTTTTATATATATCTTAAATTAAAGCTAATGTAATATACTTTAATTTGAAAAAAAAAAATTTGACCTCTGGACTTGTCTTCACGGCGAAAATGGCTACCGAATGCTATTTTCGTGTGAAAATTCTCGATTTTATTATTTATATTATATTTAACTTTATAATGCTATAACTTATTGAAAAGTTTATGGATCCACACAATTTTTTTATGAGAAATAATATTTTTTAATAAACCCTTTTTCATTCGACATACTTTATCTTAATCGAGATATTAATAAGGAACCAGCAGATCAAGTAGCTTTTGGAATAAAACACCAATTTTTTTAAAATTAAACACTATCTAAAGATTTGCATCGAAGCGTTTATTTTTGATAGTGATTTTAATCACTGTCAGATATCATTATACTTGATCCAACTATGCCACGTCACCACTGTGCCGCAACCCCCCTGTGCTGGGTTTTTTTTAACTTAATAATGCTCTAACTTTTTGAAAAATAAACATCAATATAAATTTTTTTTCCTTAAATCTGAATTTAAAATAGTGGCTTGGACAAAAAATTAACTTCTGAAAATGTTTTAGAAATACTGTGTTCTCTAAACATAAGTAAATTAAAGCTTATGTTACATATTATAAGTTACAAAACAAATTTGTTCCGACAACCTATTTTTTATGTGCAAATGGCTTTCAAAGTTGAATAACTCTTTTTTATAAGTAAGTTTAGATAAAAAAATAAAATGTATATATAATAAGTAAATTTATTTAAAAATTAAACATAGTTAAGCATCAAAAGAAATATCATGTAAATGCAGTCTCTCCTCAAGATGCTTGTTTTCATTTAAAAAAGAAAGGTACAAAAGTAAAATTCTAAAAAAACTATCTTAAAGTCTCTTATAGTATAAAATTAAATAAATTATTTTTAATTCAAATTTTACAACTATATACAATAAAATGGACTAGTATAATTGTGTTATGATATAATTTTAAATTTTAAAATTACCAATTGAACATGGCTCGTTCTTTTAAGATTCTAATATTCCAAAATGACCATTCTTTTCTTGAGATCCAAAGTTCAATAGAAGATTCAAGACCAACAAGAATGGCAGCACCTTTCCATGCAACAACTTGGGGATCCATATCTTTAGGGGAGTTAATTATTTCAATGTGACCTGAATCAAAAAAATTATTTCGTAATAAATTGGGGTAACAGTTATATAGTTTAAAATAATTCCTTATTTAAATTCAAAAACAACCAAGATATATGACTTTTTTTTAATTTAGTTTAAGAACTTAAAAAAAAATTTAAAATAAAAAAAGTGGATAAACTTAATTTATTTAATATAAATAAGTATTTAAGTTATTTTATTAAGCATTGCTATAGTAACATAGTTGCTTGCTTTAATGTTTTATTTTAATAAATGTGTCGAAATTTATATTCAATTGTTTAAAAGAAATCACCTCCGTAATAAACTTGTTGTGCATTTAGCGATATTTTACTCTTCAACCATGCACATGCACCTTCAAATTTTAATCCGCCTCCAACAACCAATATACTACTATACATTTTTCGTTTAATATCATCTGAATCTTAAAAACATAATGTTTGTTTTGTAGTATAAATATATACTATATATATATTACTATATATAATATATACAAAGTGTATAAAAAATAAGGAAACAGGTCAAGTATTACAAATAATGAGAACAATAGAAACTATTTCCTTAGAAATCGAGGAAAGAGAAGAAGAAAATAACTGAAAATATACAATAAAATTTAAATTATTTTCTATGAAATTCATTTAAATAAATCATCTATTTAAAATAACCAATTGAGTTAGAATACTTACTAAGTCTTTCAATGCTTTGTACAATTACTTTATCTAGGCTTTGAGGTCTACCAGTCTCAATATCAAAGTAGTTTCCAGCTGTTTCAATTTGATCAACACATATTTCTTCTTCTGTATTGTGTGTTATACTATTTTCAGTTTGAGTTTCTGTTTCTAATTCACGACCTGTTCCTCTCCTCTACAAATAATATTAAATTTTAAATGATTAATATTTCTTATGTAATACACTCTTAATAAAAGGTATTACTGCTGTTTGAAGTAATGGGGAAAATTGTTCATATAAGTTCAGGATACTTTGAACTCTTTAGAAATATATGATTCATTTTTTTTAATATAGTAGACATGCAAGAGTTTTTTTTTGCTAAAAATGTATCAAAAAAAAAATTTCTGGAAACATGTCATAAATATTAGTTTTATTAATTATGGATAGCACTGTCACAAGAAGAATGATCAAATGAAAATAAACTTTTAATGATATACTTGTCTTATAATGATTAAATATATTTAATATTAGAAAATAATGTGACCATTTAATAAGACATGATAAAAAATTTTAATCTAACTTCAAAATTTAAGTTGTACTGTTAGAATAAATATTTTAAATTTATGTGCATAAAAGTTTTCTTACATAAAAATAACTGACTTATTCTTGTATAATAATTAATATAATAGAATATGTATGATGGCATTTGTACCAGGGTAAAAAGCGTAGGAGGAGTAACAGAAGGTTTTCAAGTAAGAGTAGAAGTGCAACAAGGTTCTGCTTTAAGCCCTTACTTATTCTCTATAGTGATGGATGAAATTACTAGAGAAATACAAAGAATTTGCTACATGTTGTTTGCTAACGATATAGTGTTAATAGGAGAAAATAGGAAGGAAATTAATCAAAGGCTAGAGGTGTGGAGATCAGTTCTTGAAGAAAATGGTTTAAGTAGAAGTAAGACAGAGTATATAGAGTACAAATTTGACAAAGGAGAACACGAGATAGGTGAAATGAGGATATCAGTGACAATAGGCCAGGACGTGATTGGAGAGGTGGAAAGTTTTAAGTATTTAGGTTTAGTTATGCAAAAGAGCAGTAGTATTGACGAGGATGTAAGACAGGATTAAGTGTGGGTAGTTGAAGTGAAGAGAAGTATCTGGCCTCTTATGCGATAAAATAATTCCAATGAGGCTGAAAGGTAAATTCTACGAGACTGAAGTGAGGGCAGCTATGATGTATGGTTCAGAGTGTTGGGAGGTTGATAAGAAAGTAGAGCAGAGATGAGAATACTTAGATGGATAAGTAGAGTGACTAGACAAAATAGGATAAGAAACGAACATATAAGAGGGAGTATAGTTATAGCGTCAATTGTGGGTAAGATGAGAAAAAATAGACTTAGATGGATTGGTCATGTTATAAGGAGAGGAGAATGAGAAACTGTAAGAACAGTTATAGAAATGAATGTTGAAGAAAGAAGAGGTAGAGAAAGACCAAAAAAGAGATGGAGGGATACTATTGAATGCAATATAAGGACAGCTAATGTGAGCTGAGTAGACACTTGGAGTATAGTACTACAGAATTGGACTCCCTGATAGAATCTCAACAACCTTTATGGTATTAATCTAAAAATTAGCTGCAAAAATATACAATATAATTTTAATTACACTTGTTTCTCTCAAAAATTCTTCATCATATGGGTCTTCTGGTAATGATTTAAAACCTTCTTGAATTACATAATGGTTGTTATCAGTAATGCCCATTAAAGTTGGATTAAATACTCCCAATACTGCAATCATAGCTTCATCACCAACCTAAAGTTTTAATTAAAGTAATACTGGGTAGTTTATTAATCATAATAAAATATATATATATATATATATAT